TTATCCTGCTTAAAACGACCCATCTTATGAGTTCATTGGTGAAATAATTCAGAAAAAAAAACATTGTCTAAGCCGAGAAAATCAAAGCTGAAGTTTATGTAAATCAGGACAAATCTTTATGCGATTTACAAACATTGATTAAACATTCATTTCTTTTGAATTTTCTTCATGAATTATTAATGAGTTTTATAATAAGCGTTAATGAAGCAGAATCAGCAGGAGTCTGGATGTCGTGGCGATTTAGCCTATTTTAGTCTATGCATGTTTATATTAACAGAACAGGAACAAATATTTCCTCTACCACAAATTTCCCTTAGGCCTTACGTAAATGGAACATGTTTATTGCAATTTTGTTCCCATTTTGTGGTCCATAGTCCAATTGTGTACTATCATACCATCCCAAGTCACGTCCATGATATTCTAATGTGGGATTAGGTGTTCCCATCAGGATGCAATATTATGTCCCATCACGTTTAACGATACAACTAATGTTTTCTATAGGTACACAGTATATATAATATTTTTAACACAGGACAAATAGACATTACACACAGAATACATTAAATTTTGCGACAGATGTATAAAACTACAGTATTGGCCGAAAAATCTACCTTAAATCTACCCAGGAGTTTAATGTCGTAAACGAAAGTTTTACTGATATTAAAGACTATCGGTAAGAAGCACATGACCTCACATGGCAGGCATCTAGCGTTGTACAGAATTATCTCGAATGATTCAAACTTTTCCCCCTCATCAACTATCGACGTCTTGGAGGACATTAATTATTCCTTTGTTAGTTACGATCAAAAATAAATCCTTCCTGTACCCAGTTTGGGTGGTGGAGGAGGGGGTGGATTGTCATTGCATGCCCAAGGCTGCGTTTACGCGCTGCGATTTATCATGTACGATTCGTTTTCTGGCGCATGTAATTGAGTAAACACGCGTAAGATGGTTACACGAATGAATTATGGCGCCAGCACTCATTTTAATACGCCAGAATACGAATCTTACACGACAAATCGTAGCATGTTTATTGCGATTCACTCATTCAACTTCTCCGAATCCCGCTTCATTGACGTCATTTCATGCCTCGGTCTTAGTCGTCAGAGCAAGTTTGAGTCGTCAGAGCAACCGCCTTTCACCTTTGAGATGGTGAGTTACTGAGTTCATCTGTCAACGCTTTGCCAAATCCGGTTTCCTCCCACAGGGAAAGTTGACAGGGTGAGTTAGGATAAACACAGTTATAAAACTAATAAAAGTAATATCGCAATTGTTGGAAAGAGAAAGTAATATAAGGCAACGTAATACTTTACGTAAATCACGTAATCGGTAATTTAGAAGCCCCGATGCATGGGGAGTGCGGTGACCTACCTGAATGTCTGCTTCTTCTCTCGCATTTCATTGGCTACGAGCGTCATAATATGATGACGTGTAAGCATTGTTGTGTAACAGTGTAAGCACTGTGATGCGAGTGGTATTTAAATCCAGTTTCGATTTACGCAGCACATTTGCTTGCAAACTCTGTCTTGGCGAAGTGCGCTAACTTTTGGAAACTGTAAAGGTAATTAGACCGAGTTTGAATGCCATGCATATAACGTTAGAGTTAGATAGTGCTTGGAAATACATTATGTTGTGTATGTATATGCGGTAGTGTAGTTTCACTTAGCTTAATTAAGGTTGCCACTGCATGTGTATGTATTTATTTATTGTGAATTTTCTATGACAGCTGTAAGCACATTTGCTGCAGACTCCGTCTTGGCGAAGTGCTCTAGCTTTTGGAAACTGTAAATGTAATTACACCGAGTTTGAATGCCATATAAAGATAGGTAGTGCTTGGAAATGCATGTGGATTATGTTAGTGTATGTTTTTGCGGTAGTGTAGTTTCACTTAGCAGGTTGCCCACTACCTCGGCCACAACAGCGTGTTTCATCCAATGGAGGAATCTTAGCCACTTGAAGCTTACCTCAAAGTTGTCACACTGACTCTACAGTACTTCATTAAATGCAGATGACTGTAGTTGCAATTTTGAGATAAGCGAAACTAAACTCATGTTTGTTCTATCTTTGGTCTCGTACACGTTGCACGTTTACACAAGGCCTATGTGTTTATTTATTGTGAATTTTCTATGAAAGCTTTAATCTCTTTGTAACCATAGGTTTAAATGCTCATTGGCAGGACCGGTTGACAGTATGCAGGGGCAAGGCTAGTGCATGGTTATAGCGGCTGTAAAAACGTTTCCATGAAAGTAATAATGTGTTAATTATCAAGATGACTTTCATGAAACCAAATATGTGCATAAAGCTATGTGTATTAATCATGACTAATATTACAGCTCTTCATCATGTCTGAGTGGTATGTTGATGTCGTAGTTTTTGTCACAACAACAATTTTACAGTAAAAGTGGAAGCTTTCGTTTAATTAAAGACGCATTTTCTGTACCCGTGGCGACTTCGATTTATTGCACAATCCCGGGACAATTGAACCACCTGCCATCAGGCCATGTGCGATATCATGTGCGATATCATGTGCTTCATAGTCTTATCGGTAAAACTTTTATTTAGTTTACTCTGGTTTACGATATTGAAAGCATGGATAGATTTAAGGTATATTTTTCGGCTAATACTGTAATTTCATACATCCA